TGGGGGGTTTCCACGGCCTCGCCGACGGTAGGGGACCCGTGGGGGGTTTCCACGCCTCGCCGACGGTACGGGGTCCCGTGGGGGGGTTTCCACGCCTGGCGCTGGAAGACACCCGAACCTGCACACAGACGCGTGGCTGAGATAAAACGGCACGGGTGTCGCTGAGCAACGGACCCAGTTCCCTCCCTTCCATTTCCCTTCCGCCTGCTCAGTGGGTCCTAGTTCCGCGGGCGCAGGTCATGGTCAGGGCCCGAGACCGAGCCGCCCAGGCCCTTCCGTGTCCCGGGAGCGACCTGCTCCACCCGAACCTCAGTCACTGCCCTCCTGCCCGTCAGAACGTTTCCACCCGTCCCCTCCCTGTTCTGTACTCCTCGTCCCGTGACTTCCTGCCTTCGACCCCGCGTCGCGGTTCTCGGGAAGGTCGCTGTCTACTCAGGAAGTGTTAAAGTTTGTGTCGCCTCAACCGGCTCCTTCAGTTGCTTCTAACACTTGCGTCATCCCAGCGGGGAGGCGCGGGGGCGGGTCCCGGGGTCCTCAGGTCCCTGCTGGGCCCCGACTCCTCCGCCCTGGAACATGAACTTCCCAAACCCCGCGGGGCTAACGCGGAAGGACGCGAGGAAGAGCTGCGGGGGGCGCCGCCGGGGGAGGGGGGGGACCCGGTCCCTGCGGGGAGGGGACGGCGAGCGCAGCGGGCTTTCCCGGAAGCGGGTCCGGGCAGCCTGGGGGTGGGGGTGAGGGAAGTGGGGGTGGGGGTGGGGGGAAGGAGGGAGGGGAGGGGAGCGGCGTAGTCAGAGCTAGAGCGGCTGTGGGGGGGGGTTTCTCGGCAAGGAAAGTGGCTCGGGGGTGACGCGAAGGCCAGGGGCGGAGGCGGAGGCGTGGGGTCCGAGGCCCGGGGCGCGGGGCGCAGGGAGCGGGGCGCGGGGCGCGGGTCCGAGGCGCGGGCGTGACCCGAGGGCCAGTGCGGGCGGTGCGGCCACAGCCGGACCCTCAGGCGCCCGGGCGGCGCTCTCTGCCCTCGGCCAGCGCGTGTCCTGGTCCAGCGGGTGGGCCCAGAAAGATGTACTACTGAGAAGCTCCCCGAACTGAACATCCGGCAGATCCGGGAGCCCCGACTTCGGGAGCGGGGACGCCGGAACCTGGTAGCCGCCGACCGTGTTATTGGGAAAGCTTCCTGGAGGAGGCGGCGGGGGAGGGAGGGAGAGAGAGGGGTGAGTTGTGGGTGCTGTGAGCGAGGCAGGAGGCGAGGTGAGGCTGGGGACACCCGGGTCCTGGGGTCTCGACCCAGCCTGACCCAAAGATGCCCAGGACGGTCCTGGGTCTCCGGAGAAGAATCGAGCTCAGACACGCACAGGGGTGAGCGACCCCAGCAGGAAGTTTTCTAAAGCCGAGAGTACAGCCTGCAGGTGTGTGAGTGTGGGTGTGTGTGAGTGTGCGTGTGCGTGTGTGTGCGTGTGAGAGAGAGCGCGCGCGAGCTGCCGTCCGGAGGGGCTGGGTTCCACGCCCTCCTGCGGGTGAACTAGGGGACCGGATGTTCACCACTGGGGGCGGGGGCGGGGCCGGCTTCCCACTTTTCCGTCCTCACGTGCCCGGGGGCTTCCCGCCCTGGCGCCGCCACCTGGGGCCCCTCGGGTGGGGGGGACGGGGCTTCTCGGGGAGTGCGGCCCGGACGCGCCTCTGACCCCGGCTCCTCGCATCCCGCCGCTGGGCACGGCCTCCTCCGCGCCGGCCTCCAGGCTTCCTCCCAGAGCCTAAGGAACCGCCCACCCCGACGGGAAGCGGAGAGCTTGCGTGTGGATCTGTAAACGCGGGGAGGGTTTGGACCGGTGGTGGGAAGTGCGGCCCGGCTCCGCCGTCCGGGTACAAGGACGTATCGGGGTCCCGGGTATTAAGGGAAGTGGGGCGAACACGTCCGTCCCACGGGAAGATCCCGCCCACTTCACCCAACCTGTGGGATTTGAGAACGTCGGCGGCGGGGGACCCTTTCCAAACCCGAGCCCTTCAGAGCGCGCCCTGTGCTGGGATTTTTGGGGAGCCCAATTGCCCCAGGCCGGAATCGGTTTGTGGGGGGCCGTTAGTGGGGGTGGGGGAGGGGTCCGCAGGCGGCTGTGGCCCTAAGTTCCGGGTGCTCTCGACGCGGTTCCCTGCGGAGCCACAGGCGAATGCGGTCACCTTTACTAGGTGGTCAGAGAGCCCGTGGGACAGGAGCCCGGATAGCTCAGTTGGCAGAGCATCAGACTTTTAATCTGAGGGTCCAGGGTTCAAGTCCCTGTTCGGGCGGGAAAACTGACTTTTTCCCCCCATGTATTCTCAGGTCCAAAACAGTGTTAATAGTTCTTCCTTCACTGCTCAAGCCGATTGGATCCCGGCAGGGGAGTGGTACCCTGTCTGGGGAAGAGGGGGTGCCATGTCTGGGGTCGGTGGGGTGCTGCCCTTTAGGAAGTGGTAGGAAAAGTACCTCTCCTGCTGGTTGGTAGGTGGTTGTATGTGCCCCAGAAGGAAGGGGAACTTGGGTTTGAACCTGATTAATTTAAGATACCTGCGAATCTAACAAGCAGTTGTGAAAATCTTTGACAACCACAGCGATCCCCGAGACTGCTCATCTGTAGGAATCTCTGATGGGAAGATTTTCTTTAAACATTAATCATGTAGCTGCAGGGTGGGGGCGGGGAGCATACACAGGGTGGGAACTGAGCAGGGTTCGTTGTGATTTGAAGATTGGGGACCCGGTGAAGGTATTCCTGGAAAACTGCAGGGAGCTGGAGGGATCTTGGGCTCTGGATTCATTCCAGAGAGGATAATGCTTCCGGAGTGTCCTTAGAAATCAGGAAATGCTTAGAAATTGAGGTCAGATTATCACCATCTCCTCTTTGCCTTCCTCTGCCCATAAGAGACTCTTGTTCATGTTCACAGAAATGCCATGGAGTAGACTTTGAACTTCGGAGGACCTCGTGTGTCTGGCAGAACGCGTGCCTGGGTTCAAAGTCATCAGGCTGCTAGAATGTGAGACTAGGGAGCTAACCATGTCAGTTCTCCGTGAGGAAGACAGGTGTGTGGGGTGGGGGAAGGCGCTGGTGTTCACTTAGTTCTGTGTCCTGGTGTAAAGTGCAACTAGGTCCCTGTCCATCTGCCCTGTGACTGCAGGGGGCTGGCCTCCAAGGGGTCTGCTCTGTCCCTGATACGCAGGGGCTCTTCCATTTGCTTCTGGCTATCCCTCCAAAACTTCTCCTGAATTTTGTGGCAATGTCCGGTCTTTCTCTGAACAACATTCCTGAAACATCTATTCAAGTGGAATGCTGTAGGGTTAACTCGCAAGTTAGAGAATTTTTTTGAGAGACTGAGGAACTCAACATTTGAAGCAGAAGATAGAACGCACCCATGACCAGTATGCTGTATTCAGAAAAGCACCAGACATGAAGTGTAGATCTAACCCATCTGTGTCCTGAGGAAAATGAAGCCAATTATGTGATTTTTTTGGGAAGCAGTCCCGGAGAAGACATGTTGGAATATTATTTGGATGTGTTGGACTTTCACTGCACACACCTTGCATGATAACCCTTTGATATTTTAAAAACTTTTTACATGACCCTGTTTTACAGATATGGAGAGGGTGATGAAGTAAGTTCCAGAATTCACCCCATGTCACCAACCTTTTTAATTACATGAAGTTATAAACCCAGATTACAGGACTGCAAATCTTGAGTTCTTTCCTCCTAATATCATATTATACTCACACACACGCAAGGTAGTGATTCCTTCCTATTCCAGATCATATATGAGATGTCAAAGACACAGTTCAGTTAGAGGGAATATAAACCATGATGTGGTATATGATAGAAAATGTTTTTTACACAATTTTTACAGAAGCCTTTCTGATCCAGGCCCATTGAAGGCATTCAAGTATTTGTTTAATGATGTTCCTTCTTCTCATTTAGGATCTTTGACGAATCCCCTCTATTACATCACAGGTCAGTGGTCAGAAGTTAAATTAAGTAACTTATCATTTCTGAAGTTTGGAGTAAAGAAGGAGCAGAGAAAGCAGAATGATCGGGAGGGGCTGGAACACAGACACAGAGGACTTCTCAGGACATGCAGCCGCCTGCACCAGGAAGGTCTCATCTCCCTTTTATAGTGGGGGGGGGGGAGGGGAGGATAGAACAGAGCTCTCCATTACTTGCCACCAATTTTCTCAAGGGTCCAGACCACTATTAAAGGGAAGAATTAAAACACTTTCTAATAGTCACAGGGGAAAGCTGAAACTATTTTGCACAAACTGGGAGAGAATAGAAGGTAATGTGGTTCTTCACGGTTGCTCTTGCCTGAACCAGTGGTCGTGAAGGTGGGACTTGGGTGCAGTAACCTGAGGCAGGAGCAAAGTTTATCATAAGAAATCATATATGTTTATCTTCTTTGTGCCAATTAACTCAAGGTTTACTTTCTAATTGAACTTATTTAGGAAAATATCTCAGAATCTTTCTGCTTCAGTTCGAGCCCTGCATCGGGCTCTGTGCTGACACTCAGAGCCTGGAGCCTGCTTCGGACTCTGTGTCTCCCTCTCTCTCTGCCCCTCCCCCACTTGCACTTTGTCTCTCCGTCTCTCTCAAAAATAAGTAAACATTAAAAAAAGTCTGTCTGCTTCTTATTTACCAGTTAGAGGGAAATAGATATAGAACATTATATATTATGTAAAATCATGGAAGTAGACACACGTACATATCACCCATCATTCATTTATAGGCTGTCCATCGAGTATCTAATTTAATTCTGACAGTAGCTGAGAGCAAATACTGGACTCAAGATTGAAATAAGATTTTGTTTTACTTTAGAGACTATATGATCCAATACTTTATAACATTATCATAGAAGCTAAAATTCACTTCTTAAAATTGATATTAATTCTGGTTATTATACATGCTATCTTAGGAAAATAGAAGGGAAGAAAAAAATTTACTGTGATAAATTATATATATATATGTAAAACCATAGTTATTCTTACTTGAAATAATCCCAGCTCTTGAAAGTCAAGAGCAACAGTAATGACATAAGAAGAGGTATCATGTCAAAAAAATATAAGGGCATGGTTACATTTATGTTCTGATAATACAATTTTCTATAGTAAGAAATAGAAGAAGCTAAAAACCCTTAACTAAATACATAAAAGAAAGTTCAAATAAAGGCTAATAGGAAATAAATACACATCGTGTATTAGTTCTCTATTGTTGCATAATAAATTACCCCATCTTTTATCACCTGGTGTCTCAAGTGTGCAACTCTTCTGCCTCATTCTAATCATTGGATGAGTCATTAGTCCAGCCCAAGGGAAGGGAATTAGTTTCCGCTTTAAAAAAAATACTTTTAATGTTTTATTTATTTCTGAGAGGGAGAGAGAGACAGAGTGAGCAGGGGAGGGTCAGAGAGAGAGGGAGACACAGAATCTGAAGAAGGCTCCAGGCTCTGAGCTGTCAGCACAGAGCCCAATGTGGGGCTTGAACCCATGAACCATGAGATCAGGACCTGAGCCCAAGCGAGACACTCAATCCACTGAGCCACCCAGTGCCCCATAGTTTCCTTTTCTTAAAGGTAGGAGTATTAAATAAACCATCATGACAGGCAATAGTCTGTTAGAAGGACATATAGGAGAAATACATATTTGTAATTGTAATAAAAATATAAACTGATCACAAACTAAGAGTACATCAGTTATATAAAGAAAGCCACAGTCTCTTAATGACGGACGTATGTACCTATTCTAATGCATGGAGATCATATCCTGTTCCTAGATCAGAATGCTTAGTATTTTCAAATATCAGTTCTCCCCACATTAGCCTGTAAATGAAAAAATCCTTCCCCAAAATTCAGATGTAAGTTAGTTTCAATATTGAAAAAAATGTCAGAATAGAAAGAGAAGGTTCGCCTTAATAGATATAAATCTACAATAATTAAAACAAAATAGAGACGAATCAGGAATAGACAGAAAGATCAATGATAGGGCTAAAACTATGTGGGACTAAATACACATAAACTTATAGTTTAAAATAAAAAATAAGACATATAAACTGGAGTCAGTTATCCTGGGTTCAAATCCCAGCTCTGCCATTTACTGGTCATGTGACTTTGGAGGAACTATTTGATCTCTCATTTTCTGGGTAGTTTAATGAGGATAATAATAGTATCTACTGCCTACGATCTTTATGAAGGTTAAACAAAACAACACGAGGATAAAATAATGCTAAAGTTCTTAACCCAGAACCCAACAATTCACAGTCGAGTCTAGGGATAGATTTTAGAGGTTTAAGAACTTGGAGAAAAATTACAAATTTATACTGACTACTCTCTCACTGTACTTTGTTATTCCCTTTATTTATGAATACAGGCAGCAAACCTCAGGCATGTTGGCAGCATGTGTGGTTTTGTCATCGCCAGAAATCACAGGTAGGGCTTCTGTTCATCACTGGTTGAAACTGTGGAGGCTGTAAGACCAATCAGGAACCCACATGTTAATGAATGTAGCTGAGCGGCTACAGGCGCCACTACCAAGTGGCACCAAGTGGCAAAGTGTCCCGCCTCCGCGTTGGAGATCCAGGCATCCGCATTGCTTTCTGATGTTTCCATCGTAGTCATTTATAGATCAGTATGAAAAGATGGCGAGCAATTTTCACTGTTAAAGTTTTGCGACACAGAGTGGTTCACATGAGAATTGTTAATTCTGGGTAGTTACCTGGAGAAAAAAATTGATTCCATATTTCACAATGTATAGAAGGATGAATTCCAAATGTTGTTTCCAATTGTGGTTCAAAAATCCAAAATTATCTAAAGAAAAATATTGACAAATTTCATTTCAAGAGAGCTTCTGAAAGACTGATAAGAGTACAATTAGTTTTTCTTTAGTATATTTACCCTTTTTGTACTTATAAAATTTTATACAATATGTACTATTAGAATAATCGTGGAGTAAAACATAACAAAACCTTCTGTATGACAGAGTGAAAATCCACAAACAAAGTCAAAGAGAAATCTCAGATGGGGAAAATAGAATTGCCTTTCATATCACAAAAAGAATAGTTTCCCCATGTCACCCAGTGTACGCTTGATTAGAATGTTAGAGAAAACATGCACAAAATCTCAGTGACTCAACAATAATAGCTTATTCTTAGTACATTACATTTTTTCCCTCAGTGATTGGTTGATGGGTCTCCTCCCCATTATTCTAAAATCTGGGATTGAGAATTAGGATGATCAAGTAGTGTAGGGGAGGGAAAAAATCTTTTTGTTCTACCCAGTTATGTTCAGTAGCTGGGGTCCTGCAAATAAAACTGACATAAAACAGATACACAAGGGGGAGAATGAGCAAACGTTTGCTAACACAGGCAGTGTGTGCCCGCAGGGGAGCACTACTTCACATGAGCTAAAGGGGTTGCGAAAACTTGGGCTGATTTAGCATCTTCAGAGAGAACAATACATTTGTAGAGAAGTGACAAAATTGAACATCAAAGCTAATCTGATTATGAAGCAAATGGGTTAGAGTTGGTAATTAATAAAACTGAGTAATGGATATGTGGAAATTCATTATAATATCATTTTTGTTCTTATACGTTAAAATGTTCTACAATAAAAACGAAAAGGAAAAATTACACTGATTAATTCACACAAAAAGAAACAGAAAGTCTGAATAAGCCTATATATATTAAAGAAATTAAATTGATAAGCAAAGACCTTCCAAAATAGAACATACCAGGACCAGAGGGGTTCACTGGGGAATCATACCAAACATTTACGGAAGAAATACCAATTCTCAGCAATCTCTTCCAACAGATAGAAGCATCAGGAATACTTAATAATTCATTTTACAAGGCCAACATTACCCTAACGGAAAAACCAGACAAAGGCATTCCTATAAAGAAAACTTAAGACCAATATCTTTCATGAACATAAATGCAAAAATCCCTTTAAAAATAGCAAATCAAATCCAACAATGTGTAAAAAGAATTACACATCACATGGGGCAGGTAGCAAAGCTAGTTCGACGTTTGAAAATCACTTGATGAAATCCATCACATCAACAGGCTAAAGATAAATCACAGGACCATATCAATAGATGTAGAAAAGCATTTGATAAAAATCCAACTCTCATTTATAAAAACTCTCAGCAAACTCAGATTAGAAGGGAATGTCCTCGGCTTGATAAAGAGTATGTATCTACAAAAATCCTATAGCTGACATTATTCTTAACCGTGAGAAACTTGAAGCTTCTGGCTAAAGTCAGGAGTAAGGCAGGGATGCCCCCCTCACCGTCCCCCAAATCGGTGGAAGTACCGGCTCACGGAGTGAGACAAAAAAGAGAAATCAAAGGTGTAGGGAGGGAGGGAAGACCCGCGCTGACCCAGCATCCCCTCAAGCTCAGTTTGGCTCACCTTTGGCGGTGTTCCTGGCACGAGTTCGGACAAATGGGTGAAGGCGCCAGCATCACAGCACCGCACCGAATGGTTTCTCCCCCCAAGAAATGGGAGTTGCCCCCATGCCGCCCCCCCCCCAGCACTGGGTGTTGGTGGTGTTCTGGATCTGGGCCATCCCGTAGGTGTGCCCCGGCACCCGGTACTGCTTCCACCTGCATCTCCCCGACGACACACGTGGGGCATCTTTCCAAGTGCTTGTTTGGAATCCGTGTGTCTTCTCTGGTGAGTGTTAAGGGATTTTGCCTGTTTTTCTTTCTTTCCTTCCTTCCTTCCTTCCTTCCTTCCTTCCTTCCTTCCTTCCTTCCTTCCTTCTTTCTCTCTCTCTCTCTCTCTCTCCTTCCTCCCTCCCTCCCTCCCTCCCTCCCTCCCTCCCTCCTTTCTTTCTTTCTTTCTTTCTTTCTTTCTTTCTTTCTTTCTTTCTTTCTTTCTTTCTTTCTTTCTTTCTTTCTTTCTTTCTTTCCATCAGAGGTTTGTTTTCTCCTTGTTGAGTTTTAGGAGTTGTTTGTGTACTTTGGATGCCAGTCTGTTATCAAATGCGGGCCTTGCAGACGTGTCTCTGTCTACGGCTCGCGTAGGAAGCCCCCTCGTCAGTTATTCTCTTTGTGGGTCCCTCGCCTTTGCTGCTGTCACCGCTTCCTCTGAACAGTCGCTCTTCTCTCCTGTGTAACCTCCAAGGTGAGAGGAAACCCTGGAGGGAGGCTGCCCCGGGGTCTGAGGCAGCTCAGGTGCGCTGTGCGGGGGGGCCCCCACTCCGTCAGCCTTGCACAGGGGCCCGGGGAGGGGGCTCAGGTGGGCTGTGCGGGCGCCCTCCTCCACGCAGCCCTGCACAGCGGGGTGAGGGGGCTCAGGTGGGCTGTGCGGGCGCCCCCCTCCACGCAGCCCTGCACAGCGGGGTGGGGGGGCTCAGGTGGGCTGTGCGGGCGCCCCCCTCCACGCAGCCCTGCACAGCGGGGTGGGGGGGCTCAGGTGGGCTGTGCGGGCGCCCCCCTCCACGCAGCCCTGCACAGCGGGGTGGGGGGGCTCAGGTGGGCTGTGCGGGCGCCCCCCTCCACGCAGTCCTGCACAGCGGGGTGGGGGGGCTCAGGTGGGCTGTGCGGGCGCCCCCCTCCACGCAGTCCTGCACAGCGGGGTGGGGGGGCTCAGGTGGGCTGTGCGGGCGCCCCCCTCCACGCAGCCTTGCACAGCGGGGTGGGGGGGCTCAGGTGGGCTGTGCGGGCGCCCCCCTCCACGCAGCCCTGCAGGGGCTCAGCGGGACGCGAGCACACAGAAGCTGGCACGCGGATCAGGGACAGAGGGAAACGAGGAATCGTGGGCTTCTTCAACCTCAGAGTCTTCACGAAGTAAGGTTCACGCGCGTCCGCCGCGGCCTCCGGGCTGGAGGACGTGGGCGGGATTTCCACCTCCGTCTGCCCGGACGGGTGTCTCTGCGAGCGGGCTCGGGCCGCAGCGGCAGCTCTGGCGCATCCACCCTCCTACCGGCCCGGCGGCGAGGCACGTGGGTCGCAGGTTCCTGAAGCCCTTGGCCGGTGGAACGTTCTGGCAAGGTCCCCGAGGACCGCGCGTGCGCCCTGCGGGCGCCGGTGGGGCCGCGGGGACGGAGGTCAGGCGCCCGCAGCGCTGGGCGGGTCTGCGGATGCGGGTCTTCCCGGCGGCCGCCCGCGCCCGGGGGTGTAGCTCAGCGGTAGAGCGCGTGCTTCGCATGTATGAGGCCCCGGGTTCGATCCCCGGCACCTCCAGGCTGGAGTTTTATTCCCATCTTTCCCTAGTTCAGCCTCTGACTTCGAATCAGCAGACGAAATACTTTAGCCCGTTCTTGTTCTTATTTTTGTTGTTACCATTCCCTTTAGGTCCAGCTGCTTCCCGTCTGCATATTTGTTTTTCTGACATTTCATTGACTACCCATATTAACTAATATTCCCTGCTTTCTGGAAACTCCTCTGGGGTGCAAAGCCAGAGGGGCAATCTCAAAAGTAAGTTCATTCTATGAAAGCGTCCAGGAAGAGGGAATACAGGTGCATATGACAGAATGACTTAGCTCGATTAAATGAGGTCTCATCCATTCCACTTTCCTCTGGAAAATAATCAATAAAAGCAAAATATCTTTTAGTGATTATTTGAGGGAAGGGGAGGGGAGGATTGTCGAAGTGGGAGTTGAGTGTCAGTATTCAGGGTCCACCCGAGGGCCATTAGGGGAATTTCTTCATGTGCTCTCCTCACCACTTCATTTCTCTGTGTTTTGGCTTTACCCAAGGATTCTGTGCAGGAAATCTGGTCTTGGCTCAGTACAGGCCGCTCGGGAAGGCAGTGAGGTAAGAAATACCCCCACGGAATCAGAAGAAACCATGACAGATTGGCTGGAAGCCGGGGAGGCCCAGTGGGGCTGCCTTCTGACATCTCGTCAAATGGACTTTTAGGCGTCTGTGGTTTCCGACTGCACTTACATTCATTCCTTGATTCAACTCAGTGCTTTGAAATATTGATAATATAATGACAACAGTTTACAGTTTCTGTTCACACTTAAAAATAAGGTAAACTGATACCATGTATTTATCTGCCTTTATTAAAAGGAAATCCAGTAGTTTACTTATTAAGCCTTTGTTGGGTGGCTTTCATGTATTACTGTGTGACTGTGCTAAATCAGCAGATACAGCTGAAAAGAGAGGGAGAGACCATTTATAAACCATATTTGCAACCCTATCATAATCACCGTAGTGGAGGCTTGTGGGAGACACACTGGGACACAGCAGAGGGCTGGATCAATTCTTCTTGAGGAGGTGGGTCAGGCAAAGCTTCACAAAAGAAGACACTGGTGATGAGTATTAAAGAATAAATGGGAGGTTCACAGAAGGAAATGAGGATCAGAGAGTTATTCTAGTCATAATTAACATCATGTGCATGGCAGGAAGACATGGCAGAAAACGTTGGGAGATTTAGGTAGTTACATGTGCCTGGATCACAGGAGTCAGTAGGGAACTGAGGGGGTTGTAGGACTGTATGGCTCAGCAAGATTTTGGACTCTATCAGTCAGTGTTCTTAGTTGCAAAAAGCAAACACTGCATATGGTTCACTTAAGTAGAAAAGAATACCTACTTGGTCAGGTTTAGATCAATGCCAGTAGCCTTGAAAACGAGCATCTGACTCTAAAACAGTCAGATTCCCTGAATATAATAAAGGAGGGCACACACACACACACACACACACACACACACACATCTCTAATGACCACTTCCCTGTGTATGGATGCCTTCCCCAAGGACCCAATGGGCAATGCAGAGACAATGAAGCATTGTAAAGAAGACATTACAATCAGACTTTAATTTCACAAAGTTAATTCTGTAATGTGAAAATGGATTAGGCATGGAGGTGAGAGAAGATGAAAACAAGACTCATTCAGTAATTATTGCAAGAGTCCCGAGAGCCTGCGAGGGAACCTCCACTGAGGAGTGACCTTCAGGACATCAAGACTTGTGCTAAGACCATTCCTTAGGAACCCCGGAGCGAGAGAGTCAGGGGCTGGTGTGCTCCCAACAACCCGGACAGTGGTTACAGCTGACTGTTTCAGAGATTGAGGTCCAGCAGTGGATCCATCCCTGGGATGAAGCTAAATTCGAACAGCCTTGCTTGTTTGAATCTTTTAATTTCTTAATTAATCATTCCTTCTCACCCATTTTTGTCACTTCCAATGGAATCTTTTGGACTGTGGGGAACAGTTAATTGACTTGGAAACCATTTGACCACTTAACCCCCTGTCTCTCATTCTTGCCATCCCTGTTCACCACTCAGGACATGAAGCCCCCAGTTCTCTACCCTGTTGGGTAACTTCTGGGATATACATACCCGCTGTCCTTCCATTTTGATGACTTAAACATGCAGCCTGTCTCCTCTGAATACTTTGGCTCCACTCATGTTTCCATGCTTAACAACCCATCTACCCAAACCTTCTGCTTTCACTTAGACTGACTTTCCCTAATGACATTGCTTCTTCAAGTGGATCCAGCACATTCTTCAACCTCAGAATCAGGAGATGGGTTGGGATCTTCCTGTGGCCACATTTCCAACTTCCAAACCATTACATTTCTATCTGCATTAAACAAACAAACAAACAAACAGCAACACTCTGGCCCTTGGGAGCTATGGTCTATCCATTACCTCACATTTCTCATCTAGAAGATTCCTTCTAGTTGAATGGAGACTGAGACGGGTGTCTTGCTTCTTCCACTGGGTCTTGGTGATGTCAGTGCCCATGTAGACAAGTCACCAGGACCTCAGCTTCTGGCTCCTTCCATCTGTTGTCCAAATAACCTTTACTTCAAATCTCTTTAGCCACTCACATCCATGGTCATTCTCTGCACCTGAGCATGAATCAAGATTATGCTAAAATTTTAAGTCCAGGGACACCTGCTTGGTGCAGTTGGCTAAGCACCTGACTCTTGATTTTGGCTCAGGTCATGATCTCAGGTCCTGAGGTCGAGTCCTGTGTCAGTCTTCACACTGACCATGGAGCCTGCTTGAGATTCTCACTCCCTCTCAAAACAATAAATAAATATGTAAAAAAAAATCAATAGGACTGTCCCAGCCAGTGTAAAAAAGTATATTAAGTCCATGCAGTATGTAGTGATTTTTAAGAACATGACCTCTGGAATCATAATGCTAAGGTTTAAATCCCAGCTGCCCTGCTACTGTGAGATCTGAGGCAGACCATTTAATTGATTTAAACCTGAGTTCTGTCATCTGTAAAATGGGGTAAATAATGATGCCAACTCACAGGGCTGGGTAAATATTAAATTAGATCATATGTTTAAAGTACTTAGTGTGATAACCGACTCATGGAAAAAACTCAGTGAATATTAAACATATCTTTTTAAGGACTAAGTGAGTTAAAACTTGTAAAAGTACTTGTGATGATACCCTGGAGTAATATATGTGCTCAAGAAATGTTAACTGCTATTATTAACAGTACTAATATCTGTAGATGATTCTAAACGCACCTTCTTATTGGCTGCACAAAGAGTTCTGCGTACAGCTGGAGAACACAATGCCACCAGGAAGGTTAGTGCCACTCTGAGAATTGAGCAGGTCATCACCGCCTGGTCCCCAAGGCTGGACCCAGAGTCTCCCCTGCGTCCCCACCCAGCATGAGGTCTGGGAAGCTTGGCTGCTGTTATGTCCCCCCCTCACCCTACTCAGAACAAAAACGAAGAGTCTAGATGATTGCGGCCCCATCTTCTGCATGGTTCGGAGAGGCAGTTTGTTCTCTTCCTCCTCCTGTGTAGGAATTCAAGTTGGCGCCATCCTCAGAGAGGAGAGAGAGTAAGATCAATGGCATCATTATGACTTTTGTCCCTTTGGGTCCGAATAGGACCTTGGAGAGGTCAGTCCAAACTTTTGTCTTTAAGGCACAGAGAGACAGGTGACGCCTGTTTACCTTTGCTGGGACCCCCCTCCCTCTGTAGTTCCCTAATAAGATTTACAGTAGCTGCTTCAAAAGCCCTTCAGTTGCTTAAAACAGCTAATCCTACTTTTGTGTCCCTTCTGCTAACTTTGCCTCCTACTTTAAACATAAAAATGCAATGAAATGAAGGCTCACATAACCTCCTTCACCAACTTGAAAAATGTGCAGATATGTGTAGCCATCCTTTTTAAATTGCTGTCTGCTAAAATGTAATATCCCTTGTCTCAGTGCTGCTCTAGCTTGAATGTCTACACAAAATCACCCGTGAATTGTGTTGAAATGAAAATTCCAAGGGCACCTGGGAGACTCAGTGGGTTAAGTCAGGTCATCATCTCGTGGTTTGTGGGTTCAAGCCCCACATTCGGCTCTGTGCTGATAGCTCAGAACCTGGAGCCTGCTTTGAATTCTGTGTCTCCCTCTCTCTGTGTCCCTCTCCTGCTCATTCTGTGTGTGTGTGTGTGTGTGTGTGTGTGTGTGTGTGTGTGTGCAGGGAATTTCCCCACACCAATAAGCAATGTTCTGTACATCAGCCGAGAGTCCTATCGTTCAGCTGAATTCTGACACGATCTAGCTGCAGATAGGATCAGATCCCATAGGTTAAGGGCTCCATCTGACAGAGAACTGCCTCCCCTCTCCCCTCCCCTGCTTCAGACACCAGTCACAAGTCCAGGACATCACCTGTACTTCTCACTGGCTGCTTATAAATTGGAGGTTTCCATGACATGACCCTCCCTCCTTGGGCTTGGTTAATTTGCTAGAACAGCTCATTTTGCTCAGAGAAACAGTTCACTTGCTAGATTAAAAGGGTACAACTCAGAGCAGGTAGATGGAAGAGCTGCTTAGGGAAAGGGTACGGAGTTTCTCTGGCCTCCAAGTGTGCCACTTACACCTGGTCTCTACGCGATCACCAGCCCAGAAGCATTCTGGGTTCTCCAAATCCTCTTCGGGGTTTCTGTGCAGAGAAATCTACATACTTAGGCATGACTACGAGGCATGATTGATTAAATTGTCCATTGGTAGTTGATTCAACCTCCAGCCCCTCTCCCCTCCCTGAAGGTCAGAGAGGCGGGGGTTCTCCTGGCGCCCAGCCCCCAACCACAGGAGCGGTTCCTATTAAATTAATGAAACACATCTTTGTTGCTCTAATGACTTAGGAAATTCTGTGGGTTTTAGGAGTTGTATGCCAGCAACAGGGTGAAAACCAAATTCGGATTTCCTCTTATAAAGCACAATATCACAGACATACACA